GTTCCCACCTTAAAAACCTTGAATTAAAGTGTTGGGAGTTAAAAAAGAATTTTTGGGGCAATTTTAATTTTCCACTGTTAAAAAAAATTGTTTTTAAAAACCTTTTGCCACTTTATGAAGAAAAAGAATTTAAAAATCCTTTTTTTTAAAGGAGGAATTTGCGTTTTTTAAAAAATTTTTTCCCACTTAAGTAGCTCGTTTGGAAAAAAAACTTAAAGTAACTGGGATTGTTTTTATAGTTATGTCAGTTGTTTAAAAAATTCTGGGACACCAGGGAAAAAATTGTATTGTTTGGGAAATCTTTTGACTTGTTTACTTTGTGTTTCCTATTTCATGGACTGTTTTTGCTTTTAGGTTTGGCTGAATTAAAACTTTAAAACTGGGGGCCGTACCTTTAGATCCCATTTAAAAAAACCAAAAAAAACTAACCTTTTTTTCAATTTTGCATGTTTGCCCAGTTATTTTTCTTAACTTTCTTCCAAAAGTTAAGTACTCTTTTCCTTTTTCCAAGGAAGGGAAAGAAGGGGAGGAGTTCAAGGCCAATTGAGATTTTTTTGTTTTGAAGGGTTTTCCAATTTTTTATAACAGAAATGGCCTAAAATTTTTAAATGCTGGTTTTTTTAATATTTTAGGGGGGGGGACAGGAATGGCTGCTTTTTAAACCCCCACCCATCCTGAATCAATTTTCAAAAATTTTGGATACGTGGGCTTGTTTTCATCTTTTTTAATTTTGGTTTTTTTTCAATTACCTTATTTCAAGGGGTAAAAAAAAAAAATGTAGGGTTTTTTCCAAAGGGTCCTATTTTCCCAGGGTATTTTTTTATAGCTTAATTAAAAATTTTAACCAAACTAATTTTCCACCCTTAAAAAAAACACAGGCACTTGTTTATTACATTTTAGTTTTATTCTTCATTATCATATATCAGCCAGTATTTTGTCATATTATACTCAATGTATATATTATACTGTCATACTCAGTGTATTTTCACCAGCAAAAATTTGGTTTTGATTGCTGAATTCTAGAGTTTCTGTGATTTGATGAAAGATTATAGTAATGAAGGGAGCAATAAATATTAAATATATGCGAGGAATATCTGGTATGTTGATTATTTTTGTGGTGTTTATGAAAGAACAGTATTCAAGGTATTGTAAGTTGTGTTGATATTCCAAGAGAATACATAGATTGACAGTAGATTTATACTAAACTTCACTATATTGCTTTCTTCATCAAAAGTGTGTATAATATTTCATCTTGTAAAATAAATGCTATAGCTTTTATAGATATATCAATATGTTTTGTAAAATGGAGATTGCTTATTTTTTTGAATTTAGGAGATTAATATTGTTTTTAAGAAAATTATCATTTAATTTCTTTATGTCTCAAATAATTGTGTAAAATATAATTAAGTGTAATTTAAAATAGCAGAAACATTGAATTTATATAAACCTGAAGAAAGATTACATTCTTTTGGCAGGTGATATTTAAGAAATTATGTAGTATATATTATATAACTTGATAAAGTGTTTAGCATTATAGGTGCTTTATCTATTGTAATAGCAAAAGAGTGAAACAGAACTCGATGGCAGTTAAGTGACACGCGATCAAACTACCAGTCACATTCTAATTGTGAAGTTTTTTAAACCAAATTTTTTTGGAATCTGTAGGTTACAATTAATTAAAAGCAATGTGATATTACCAGATACTATTTTATGAGAAGTTTCTTGCCAGTGGATTACTCATCTTTAAATGGTTATTGTAGCATTGCTTTTTTGCTCTCTTGGTTGTTAAATATGTTCTACTTGTAGTATTAAACTAAATATCATCTACCTAAATATATTGTTATGTACATAACACATACCTATTTTATAGAAAGAAGAAATGAAAGAACTGTTATACCTTCTTTCAAATTTTAATTGAAGATTATACTATAGATTAATAATGTTGAAGAGAGATATTATTGTTGAAAGAATAAATTGCCTAATGAAAAATGTTCAAAATTTGTGTTTTTGCAGGAATATAATGATTACGTAGAACATTTGGTTTTCTTATTTCCCTCATTTATTTCTTATTCCCTTTCTGTAGAATTTTAAGAAATAGAAAAGCACTTTCATATTTTGACAACCTGCTTAAAAAAGACAGCAAAATTTGATGTTTCAACTAACCAAATATCTCAGTTAAATTCCTTATCTTTTTTATATATATTTATATATGTGTGTGTGTGTGTGTATATATATATATATATATA